ATTATAATGTAAATGATAAATGCAGCATGATGGTGTAATTATGCAAGTTCCTGCTGGGTTGTTGCAAATCCGCTGCAGATTATACTCTGATATTGAGAGACACTTCAATCAAATAACAATTTAGAAACTGTTGAAAATAATCTCCTTACAAACTCAGAATATCTTCTCTGTGTCCTTCAATATTTTATACTTGAAATTTAAGAAGAAATCAATCATTATTAAGTCCATTAATCATTAATTGAAAATCAAAGATGAAAGGCATGTGTCCATCTGTTTATGCCTCCAAGTGATACTGATGTTGAGTTACTGATCAATGTCACTAAAATGCTTGCTTTTAAATTAAGATGGCCTTCCCAATGGCTAATTGGTTCACAAGTTGTTGGCAAACAAGGACAGTTATTCTTTTTAAGTTAATGGGATCAGAAGTGATCCCTTATTGTCCAAAGGATTGAATTAATCCCTTAATAGGGAAACTCAAAAAGGCATCTGTTCAGGTTATTGTTAAGCCATCATAAATCACAGGAATAAAATTTAAAAAATGGCATAAAATGTAAAGTTGTTGGTAGCACACAAGTTAAAAGTTAAGAAAAGCATTATACATGTATGTTTTTGTGACGAATTTTGTTCTTTAGATACACTAGCTGTCAAGTGAAAGATAACGCCAATAAAAAAGGTACAAAGAATATTATTCATTTTCACCAGACCATAAATTATGAGCCGGAACATTGGTACAAACATATAATACACACAGTTTTTTAAAAGTTCATTGCCTTCCTGACACTAGAGAAACATATAAATAACAATAATTATTTTCACATCATTATTTGGCCATGGTTTCAAAGTGTAAAATTGTAACAAGAAGTCAATGACCAGTGGGAAAATAATGTCAGTAAAATGTCAGTAACATAATCTGTATCATTATACAGCTTTTACAATTTGAACCAGCTTCAGCCATGCTAGCCATATATACAAACCAATGCCTATAGAATAAAGAGAGTCTATCTACTATTGTATGCTGACTTTTATATCACAAGACTTGATGCCGCTTTACTTGACTTTATGCCTTTTTGAAACACTTTGTGCCATTTTACCAAACTGTTTGCCTCCATACAAGACTTTATGTCACTTACCAGACTTTATGCCTTTTTAAAACACTTTGTGCCACTTACCAGACATTACGCCTTTTTAAAACACTTTGTGCCATTTTACCAAAGTGTTTGCCTCCTTACAAGACTTTATGTCACTTACCAGACTTTATGCCTTTTTAAAACACTTTGTGCCATTTTACCAAACTGTTTGCCTCCTTACAAGACTTTATGCCACTTACCAGACTTTACGCCTTTTTAAAACACTTTGTGCCATTTTACCAAACTGTTTGCCTCCTTACAAGACTTTATGTCACTTACCAGACTTTATGCCTTTTTAAAACACTTTGTGCCACTTACCAGACATTACTCCTTTTTAAAACACTTTGTGCCATTTTACCAAACTGTTTGCCTCCTTACAAGACTTTATGCCAATTACCAGACTTTACACCTTTTTAAAACACTTTGTGCCATTTTACCATACAGTTTGCCTCCTTACAATACTTTATGTCACTTACCAGACTTTATGCTTTTTTAAAACACTTTGTGCCACTTACCAGACATTACGCCTTTTTAAAAGACTTTGTGGGATTTTACCAAACTGTTTGCCTCCTTACAAGACTTTATGTCACTTACCAGACATTATGCCTTTTTATAACACTTTGAGCCACTTACCAGATATTACGCCTTTTTAAAACACTTTGTGCCAGTTTACCAAACAGTTTGCCTCCTTACAAGACTTTATGTCACTTACCAGACTTTATGCCTTTTTAAAACACTTTGTGCCACTTACCAGACATTACGCCTTTTTAAAACTCTTTGTGCCAGTTTACCAAACTGTTTGCCTCCTTACAATACTTTATGTCACTTACCAGACATTATGCCTTTTTATAACACTTTGAGCCACTTACCAGATATTACGCCTTTTTAAAACACTTTGTGCCATTTTACCAAACAGTTTGCCTCCTTACAAGACTTTATGTCACTTACCAGACTTTACGCCTTTTTAAAACACTTTGTGCCACTTACCAGACATTACTCCTTTTTAAAACACTTTGTGCCATTTTACCAAACTGTTTGCCTCCTTACAAGACTTTATGCCACTTACCAGACATTACGCCTTTTTAAAACACTTTGTGCCATTTTACCAAACTGTTTGCCTCTTTACAAGACTTTATGGCACTTACCAGACATTACGCCTTTTTAAAATACTTTGTGCCATTTTACGGAACAGTTTGCCTCCTTAAAAGACTTTATGTCACTTACCAGACTTTATGCCTTTTTAGAACACTTTGTGCCACTTACCACACATTACACCTTTTTAAAACACTTTGTGCCAGTTTACGGAACTGTTTGCCTCCTTACAAGACTTTATGCCACTTACCAGACTTTATGCCTTTTTAAAAAACTTTGTACCACTTACCAGACATTACGCCTTTTTAAAATACTTTGTGCCAAACTGAATGTCATCTAACAAGACTTATTCCACTTTACCAAACCTTATGTCTTTTTAAAAAACATTTTACCAGAATGTATGCCTTTTAGAGCACATTGTTCCATGTTACTAAACTTTGTGTCTTCTTAAAATACTTTATGCCTTAAATTTTCCAGACTGTATGCCTTAACTTGTAAGACTTTATGCCATATTACCAGACATGCATGCCTACCAATCTGATTAAAAACCAATACTGAGTAGGTAATTTTCATGATTTCGAACTGGCAGGTAAAACTCGCAAAACAATCTAAAACTTCCAGTTTCAAAATTACTTCCGACAATTTTTTTTAACAAAAATCAACAAATTTCCACGGACAACAATATTTCGATACTTTGTCTTAAATGCCTGTCTGTAAAAATGGTTTGATTGCATGGCTAAAATCAGCTTTCTCGGGAAATCCGAATCACAATGACGGCGAATCAGATCTACATGTAAGCAGTAAGAAGATCTGAATTTTAGTCAGATTGGCCATTTTACTGGACTGTATGCCTTTTGCCTTTTAACCAGACATAAAGCTATCAATTGCTTATTTCTTTACCTTTCAATCCATTTTAGAAACAAACACATTCATTTTGCTCCATCATGTTCAAGTTTCATAATTTTTTATTTTATTTTTTTTGATAAACATACGCTATTTAATTGGATAAATTTATGCTATAAGTCAATTATAATAATAATGTTTTATTGTAGAAATAATAATTATATAGTTTAAAATGAAATATTGAATTTAATTATGCTTAGAGGTTGGCATGAAGTGGTGCTATATTGAAAGATATTGTATTATACAATTAAGCCAGTCAATGATTTTAAGTATTCTCATATTTAATTTACTTTTCATTTTTTTTGCTAATAAGCACCTGTACAACTGAAATAATTAACCCAAAGATTTGTGTTAGGTGCAAAGAATGGTAATAGGATACTGTTTATTAGGTTATAGACCCCCAGGATTGTAGATAATGGAATAGGTAAGTAAAGGTAGTAAGCATAAAGGAGGTCCCATTAACCAAGATCAATCGTAGAAATAGATAATAAATTAGCAGTGACTCATTTTAAAGCCTACTCGGTCACCATTCATTCATAAAATTTAGTAATCTTTTTTTTAACTTGTTCAAATATTTGTAAATTGATAAGGTCTGCTCTAGATTCAAATGTTAAACTTGACAAAAAACAAATTGGACGTTTTTTGCGTTCACGATGTTTACAAAACATGACCGTTTTTAGAAAAGTAAAATCACAGGTGGGCAGAAGATAAAGTGATGTGTCAGCATAAGTTGTCGAAATTGAATTTATTTCACTTAAATTAAAATGGCCTTACATTAATAAATATTATTTCTCATACAATTAGATTATTGATGAAAATAAAAACTTGCTGTTATTGAAGCCCCACATTTCATTTCAGGTTTGGGGGCTGTATTATTGCTTTATTATGCAGTATAAAATTGAGCCTGTACCTGTAATACTAAATCTACCAAATATAAACAAGTATTGTATTGTTATCAGGAGCTACTTTGCTTATCATTTAGGGTTCAATCTTTTGTCACAAAATAAATAGTGTGATGCAACCTTTACAATTGTCCAGGTGCAGGGTGTCTGTGTATTTTAGTGTCTTTACGCCTGAATCACTGCATGGGAAACTTGAAACCACAGTTACAGATTTTAAATAAATTAATTATAAATCTTGAAAATGAACCATAAATTTTCGTTAATAAGGTAGTGTGTCATTGCACTGAGGTATTGTAAAGCAAGCATTAAGGACATTATAAATAGGGATATAGTTTCACAGCATGAGATTTCATGCTGAATCAGCAATTTATTTGATAGATAGTCTCTTGCATTGCAATAATTTCTGTAAATTAATGTGTTTTTATCACACTACTTGTATGTGTCACTGTTTATTTATATGTTGACAGAAATGTAGTAAAGTAACAACACTATAGTCAAATTTATATTTTAGTATCATAAAACTCTCAAAAAAAATGTTTGTCTTTAAAAGTTGTTGTTTGCAAGTTGTTGTTGTCCAATTTGGTGCCGGATTAGTCAGTTTCACTTTGACATTATGATGCAATGATTAAAAGCTGGCTTTAAAAAACACACTGTTTCTGTACAGAGGTGGTCTTTCTAAATGGATCCATTCATATGTGATTGCATGTAGTTTCTGTGATATTTTTTTTTCTACACATTTATAGCAAATGTGCAAAATGTTACATTTTATGTCCAGAAGTGGGTGAGGGGGTAAAAGAGAATTGGAAAAAACTGAAAATTCCAATTAAATTTTGCTTTAAGCTTTAAGATTTCTTGGTGTTTAATCTTGACTTTTGACTGAACTGCTAGTTTATAAAAACAAAACAAAATAGGCGATTTAGCAAATTTCTTGTCAACAGTTTGTTTACATACATCATTCTATATTTATTATTTTCAGCCAAAGACTGTATCATGGGGGAGTGGAGTGAATGGTCACAGTGCTCAAATTCATGTGGTCGAGGTCGCAAACACAGAAAGCGTGCCATTATTCAAGAGCGTGCATTTGGTGGCAAAACGTGTCCAACAGCTACAAAATCTAAAAAATCGTGTTACGGGGAATATGGATGTCTACAACAAAGTGTCGAGTATTCAAGGGAAGAAATGGCAGGTAATGAACGCCGCAGTTATTACAATGGTCACTTACGTCAGTGATTTAGACTTCTGCTTTAAAATGCTGTGCATGTATGATTGTTCTGAAGACCAGCTTGTATACTAAATAGTATCGTATGCTACTAGCAGGCAAGCTCGTATAATTGTTGTTTTTTTTTTTTTTTTTGCTAGTCGCCCGAACCTATAATGTAAGCTGCCAAAATCCCGAAATCAATTTTAGTGGGATTACAACCCTTCTGTATGTATAGCCCTGACTGGCATTTTAAATTTGTATATTTACTGTGTAAGATTCAATGCTGTTAATCTTCGGTTTGTCTATCATTCAATCCATAATTGATTCATTTATAAGATGAACGAAAACCACAGGCATTTTTAAGCATACAGTCTGAATTATCTGTACCAGATCAGAATATCGATGATATATCAAGAAATATGGGTCAAATTTTTTATCAAAGAACAAAAATTGCATGCTATATTATCAGGAAGCTTGCCACTTTATAATCAAGAGTTTATTATTTCATGATGTTATCCTTGATACCAGGGTGGTAAGTGTTGCCAATAATAAGCCATGTGTACTTCCTGCTCAGTTCTTGCTGCATGTTTTCACTCTTGGAGAGGAAGGTGTAAGCAAATTTTCTGAAAAATTGTGCTGGCTGGTGGTTTGCCCTTCTTGTGCTTCTGCTTCAAGAAACAAGATACATTTGTAATTAAAATCAAGGTTCATTGTAAATCATAATCATTACTGTTTTAAAACAATAGTGCTTTGTTTGATTTTTTTGTTAAAGAAAAATTTAAGTCAAAAAGTTAATTGAAGAAATTAAGTGGTTGCTTGATTATTAAATTGCTTAGCTTTGAAACTGATAACAATAAGATTTTAGTTTTTGATAAACCATTATCTGAAACAGTGTAGAATTAATAAGTAATATTTACTTAATTGAAATTTATAAAAAAGATCTGCAAGAAAAATATCTAAAGCTTTTAATAGTTTTAATATTAATACTAATATTTTCCTTTCATTGAATATATAATATTTCTGAAACAGCTGTTAGCTACAGATTCTACCCACGTGACTAGTACAGACCAAGATTTTTGTTAATATTGTAATAGATCATTTAAAGGGACTTTACTGAGGTTTTTTGACATGGCGGGACTGGGGATAATTTTTGAAATTAAGGAAGTCTAACCCAATAACTTGTGTGCAAGATATTAAATCATTTGCTCACTTTGTTTTTCCAGTATTAAATTCTTGTTGTGAAAAATGACCCAAAATTGAAAAGTCTTGCATTACTTTCTCTAGAATTGGTCTAAAAAAAGCTGAAAAATACAATTTTTCAATTTATTTTAGAGCATATTTCTTAATTATCATTAGAATTTCTTCCTGTTTTAAGTGTTTCAGCTGATCTTTGTAAGAAATTCAAATTTTATATTTTAGGCTTTTGGACCTCAGTGGAGTTCCTTTAATAAATTTATGCTAAAGTATACTTAAAACCTTAAATGTAGCATTCATATACATATAATGTCAATATTCATTCAAGATATTCCATTGATTCATTCAGTACTTTACCTTCTCTGCTTGTCATGATTTACATTTTGATAAACATTTAAAGAAAAAAAATACAAGTTTAAGCTATCCATTAATGGCCTATAAATGATTTAACGTGGATATATGATATAGAAGGATATTTAATGATTTAATGCAGACGTAAAAAAAATGGCTGTAATTGTTCTGAAGAGCCCTCCAGATACCTTAATCAACTTGTACTATCCTATCTATTGAATAAATCTGAATTTAATTAAAGTGTCTGTTTTTGCTACTCAAGAATCTTGGCAAAAATAAGTGTTTTAAGGGAATAGACTTACAGCTATTTATACAATTTTATTTTGGTTTAATGTTCACTATAAGTTACACTAACTTTTGATGGCCAAAAATATTAATTAATTTAAATGTCATTATGATCTTATATACATTACCTCAATTTATAAGTATTATTAAAACATAATATTCTTATCCTACCAAAAATGCAAATTAATTTTGTAATCCTAATCAGTTTTAACGTAATTTTTTTAAGTTTTATTGTGGAGAAAGCTCTAAGCTTTTTTGAACTATTATCAGGTGTGCTTTCTGGTACTAACCAGTAAGAGTGTCATAATAAGGAAACTATGTGAGGACGCCAGTATAGGGCTCAATCCCAGAATCCCTGGGTTGAGAGGCCAGCATCTTAACCACTGGGTTACTTATCTCTTTAATCATTTTAAGTTTAATAGGTTTAATTGATTTGACCTTTACAAACTTTCTGCCTCTTAAGAAAGGATTTAATTAATTTCAATTAAATTTTAAAATGTTGGTCAGTCTTCAACTGCAAGGTGTCAATGTTCCTTATTTACTAGATGGCCTGAATTTCTTGATCTTGTCAAGGAATACAATACTTATATATATATATATATATACTCATTAAAATGTGACCCACATTTGGAGATTTCCATCAAGGTCTGTGGCATTTCCAGATGGGCGAGGTCTTGTTTAATTAGAAGTTTTGGATCTCTACAAAAATTTCTCTTCTCTGATGATTTTTTTTTAGATATGTTTAACAATTATTGTTTTAAAATACACAAAAAATAGGAGAGATTTCAAGATTTGTGCAAACATTTGAAAAAAGTGTCTTGTTTGACACATTAGGCTATCATCTTCATAAATCTAACCACAGATCAAGGTGTTTGTAATTAAAACTGTAACAATAGATACAGTAGCCATGTACCATGGTTCTCTTTGAACATATTAAGACCAGGTTAATCTACTGTGAATAAATACAAGAATCTACAAATAAAAATGATACCATTATCCAAAGCATTAAAGGTCTTTGAATGAACAGCTTGTATTTCATATACATAAACATTTTTATTCCTTTTAGTTTATGTTATAAAATTTTTCGTCCAACGATAGAGAAGTTTGTACTGTTTTTGGTAATGGGCATTCTTGCCCGATTTTTTTTGATGGGCCATCTCATGAGCTGCCGATTTCACCACACTTATAAAGGTTTAATGGAGCATTTAACATAGCCGTGGGACTACCGAAGCCACAAAAGCCAGTATCGGGTTGCAAGTTCGCCTTTAATGTCCAAAAATTGTAAAATAGCGGCTTGACAGATTGACGTTCAGGTGTTATCAGCTGTTTAGATGAAATTGGATTAAAGAGGCCTTGAAATATTGTTAACTTAAGATTATTGTTAAAATATTAAAGTGTTTTTAATGGAAAGGAGAATTAATATCAGGTTGTTGTTAGTTGTAACATCCTGTTGTTATCTGTCCACTTCATACTGGCCCCTTATATATTTAAACTTTTAAATTTACAATATCCTAGCTCTGCTTGTATGATATGATATTATATGATTATGATGTAATATTCAGATTTGATATGATATGATATTTTATTATATGGAATGATATGATATGATATGGAATGATATGATATTTAGATATTATATGGTGTGATATTCAGATATGATACGATATTAAAATATGATATTCTAATTTCAGATATGATAATTATGATATTGAGATATTATGATATTATGTGATATAATATAGTATGATATGATATTTAGATATGATATGATATTCAGATATAATATGATGTTATTTAAATATATGATATGATTTTCTGATATGATATTCAGATGTGATATTATATTCAGATATTCAGATATTATGTGATTTAATATAGTATGATATGATATTCAGATATAATATGACATGATATTCAGATATGATATGCGGATATAAAATTCGGATAAGATATGATTTGATATTCAGATAATTGTTATTCATATATGATATGAATTTTTTTCATATTAAAAAAATCTAAATTAATGGAAAAAAAAATATAGAATCACAATGGCGACGCGGTACATTGTCATGTCCTGTGACACTTAGGGATGGGGGAACATGCCCATATAAGTTAACCTTGTCCATCAATCCTGCTATCTAATGTCCTTCTGTAAACTGACAAAATAGTGGAATGTGACCTATTGACATATTGCTATAGTTTGTTTGTTCATGGTTAAATATAAGAGTAAATACCAGAAATAATCTGAATATAATTATAGTAATACTCACTTAGAGTATTATATTAAAGCAGAACAAGGAGGGCATTATTCATTTAAACCACAGTTATGTTAAGGTCATATTTTCGTTTTGCCCACCCCTGTCTTTATAATTATGTCCAGCCCTTAAAATACCAGCTTTGATAATAAATTGATACATGCAATATTCAGTAAAGCCATTAAGTAATTAAGCATGCTCATCCATGAATTTTGACCAAATAATAAACCACCAGTGTAGAGCTCGAGCCAGCATACTCAATGCAGTCCAACCAGAATAGATGCCACCAAGGCATGCTCCTCTTGCAGTCCAATCAGAATAGATGCCACCAAGGCATGCTCCTCTTGCAGTCCAACCAGAATAGATGCCACCAAGGCATGCTCCTCTTGCAGTCGTCACCAAGGCATGCTCCTCTTGCAGTAGTCACCAAGGCATGCTCCTCTTGCAGTTGTCACCAAGGCATGCTCCTCTTGCAGTTGTCACCATGGCATGCTCCTCTTGCAGTCGTCACCATGGCATGCTCCTCTTGCAGTCGTCACCAAGGCATGCTCCTCTTACAGTCCAACCAGAATAGATGCCACCAAGGCATGCTCCTCTTGCAGTCCAACCAGAATGTCACAAGAGCATGCTCATTGGTGTAATCTGACCAGAATAGATGTCAATATTTTGGTTACTACTATTGGACTATCCCAATTTCAAAGAAGGACCAGTCCATTTTACAAAGTCGGTCAGAGTAAGGGTTGATATAATATTATGAATCATATTTTGTCACATTCTTTTACAATGAAAATGTTAAGTGAGTTATAAATAACTGCAAGAGTGAGATAGAAGTATTAACATCTAAATTGGGTCAATAAATTATGAATGAAATTACTCTTAACAGGTTTTTATGTCAGCTTT